TGTTTAAGACAGACTGTCTTGCCCTGGCTGGTGTGGTTCAGTGGACTGAGCACCAGACTGTGAACCAAAGGGTGGCATGTTCTATTCCCAATCAGGGCACATGCCTGAGTTGTGGGGCCAGGTCCCCAGCATGGGGCATGCAAGAGGCAACCACTCATCAATGTTTCTTTCTCTCTCTCTCTCTCTCCTTCCCTTTTCCTCTCTGTAAAAATAGATAAATGAAATCTTAAAACAAAACAAACAAAAAAGTAAAACAGGCTATCTTGTCTCAATCTGCTGTGTGTCCTGTGGAGCCAGGCATATAGTTCTCACTCCATTAGCACCCCCTGAATTGGTTTGATATTTTATTCATCACTATTATGAGGGGAAAGCATTTATTGTGCTCAGGTGTTCACATGGTCCCCAGGGAAGTGTGCCTTGGTAAAGAGAGAGTGTTCTGAGAGTCAGAACACATGGCCTCAGGTTCTTGCCTTGACCTCAGGTTCTGCTATTGTGTGGCATGAAAACAAGCCTTTCACTCTTTGGGCTACAGTTTCTAGGAGGACACATGTCTTAGTTTCCTATGGCTGCTCTAACAAATGTAGCAGATTTAGCACCCTTTTATTATCTCACAGTTTTGTAGATCTGAAGTCCAGGATAGTATGACAAGGTTCTCTGCTTAGGGTCTCATAAAGCCAAATTCAAGGTACCAGCACCCTGTGTTCTCCTCTGGAGCTTGAGATTCTCCTCCAAGCTTAATCTCTTTATTGACGGAATTCAGTTTCTTTGCAGCCGGAGGTCCAATGTCCCTATTTCCTTGGGTAGAAAAGAGATCACACCTGCTTCCCCTCACCTCGCTGCTTAGTGAAAACATCCTCATTCATTCCACTTCACATCCCTTGGGTTGAAAACATGTGAGTCTTTCAAACTCAGGTGTTGGGAGCTCTTTCTCTGCTCATGAGAAGCAGAAGCTGGTACAACCACTTTGGAGAGCAATTTGGCAACACTTAGCGAAACTGAGATGAGCACTGTCCAACCCAGCAATTCAGCTCCTATGTATGTGCTCTGGAGTGACTCCTGTACATGGGCATAGGGGAGCATGTTTAAGAATGTTTATACTAGTATTATTTATAATTAGACAGATAGAAATTGCCTAAATGTTCATCAGCAGGAAACAGATGTAATGTGTTCGTAACATGAAATACTATGTTGAAGTTAAAAATGAATCAGAGCTATATATATCAACATACATGAATCTCACAAACATAATATACCCCCCAAAAGTTGTACAGAATAAATAAAAACATAAATATAGATTTTTAAAAAGACCAGCAGATAGTACAACAAAACTATGAAAATCTGAGGGTGCTTTTGTCTTCCTTGTATATAACTACATAGCATTTTATTTTATTTTCCAAATTTTTTTTAGATTTTTTAAGTGCATATTATTGATTATGCTATTACAGTTGTTCCATTTTTTCTTTCCTTTATTTCCCTTCACCCCTCCAGCATCCTCCTCCCCTCCTTAGTTCATGTCTGTGGGTTATACAATCTTTGGCTTCTCCATTTCCTATACTATTCTTAACCTCCACCAGTCTATTTTGTACCTACCAATTATGCTTCTTATTCCCTGTACCTTTTCCCCCATTCTCCTTCTACCCCCTCCCCACTGATAACTCTCCATGTGATCTCCGTTTCTGTGAATCTGTTCCTGTTCTAGCTGTTTGCTTAGTTCATTTTTGTTTTTGTTTTCTCAGGTTCAGTTGTGGATATTTGTGAGTTCATTACATTTTACTGTTCATATTTTTGATCTTCTTTTTCTTATATAAGTCTCTTTAACATTTTATATAATAAGGGCTTCTTGATGATGAACTCCTTTAACTTGACCTTATCTGGGAAGCACCTTATCTGCCCTTCCATTCTAAATGATAGCTTTGCTGGATAGTGTCATCTTGAATGTAGGTCCTTGCTTTTCATGACTTGAAATACCTCTTTCCAACCCCTTCTTGCCTATAAAGTTTCTTTTAAGAAATCAGCTGATAGTCTCATGGGAACTCCTTGGTAGGCAACTGCCTCCTTTTCTCTTGCTGCTTTTAAGATTCTCTTTTTATCTTTCATCTTTGGTAATGTAATTATGATGTGCCTTGGAGTGTGCTTCCTTGGGTCCAACTTTTGGGGGACTCTGGGTTTCCTGGACTTTCTAAAAGTCTATTTCCTTTGCCAGATTAGGAAAGTTCTCTTTCATTATGTTTTCAAATAAGTTTTCAATTTTCTGCTCTTCCTCTTCTCCTTCTGGCACCCCTATGATTCAGATGTTGGAGTGTTTTAAGTTGTCCCTGGGGTTCCTAAAGCTCTCCCCATTTCTTTTTTGAATTCTTATTTCTTCATTCTGTTCTGGTTGAATGTTTATTTCTTCCTTCTGGTCCACACCATTGATTTGAGTCCCAGGTTTCTTCTCTTCACTGTTGGTTCCCTGTACATTTTTCTTTATTTCACCTTTCACAGCCTTCGTTTTTTTCCTCTATTTTGTGACCATATGCAGCCATTTCTGTGAGTATCCTAATTACCAGTGTTTTGAACTCTGCGTCTGATAGGTTGGCTATCTCTTTGTTGCTTAGTTGTATTTTTTCTGGAGCTTTCATCTGTTCTTTCATTTGAACCATATTTTTTTTTTTGTTTCTGTGCACCTGTTATGTAGTAAGGGGCGGAGCCTTAGGTATTTGGCCAGGGCGGGGCAACTCACATTGCTGCGTTGTGGTGCTGTATGTGGGGGAGGGGTCAGAGAGGGAACAGTGCTGCTTGCTCTGCTCTCTGCTGGCTTTCAGTCACTTCCCCACCACCTGCAAGCAAATTGGGCCCTTCTGGTGCTGATTCCCAGGTGGGTGGTTTTGTGTACTTTCTTGGACCCTGTGAGGCTACAACTTTCTTCTGCTGCCTGAACCCCCACAGGTTTTTTCAGTCAGAGGTTTTGAGGCTTTATTTCCATGTGCTGGAACCATGGGTTGCATGGTCTGTCTCGTTCCCTAGTTGTGCCTCCCAGTTTATCCACACACAGCCCACTCTGCCAGCTGCCACCTTGCTCACTCCAGTCCCCCAGTCTTGCCGCAAGTCCTCTCCACCCCGGATCCCCATCTCCACTTCTACCAGTCTGGATGAATGTTTCTTCTTTAACTTCTTGGCTGTCAGGCTTCCATACAGTTCTGTTTTCTGGCACTCTGGTTACTTTTTGTTTTTAAATTGTTGTTGTCCTTCTTTTGGTTGTGCAAGGAGGCAAAGTCTATCTACCTATACCTCCATCTTGACTGGTATATTCCAAACTTTTTTTGTAGTGTGTACATATTGCTTCTGGAATCAAAGTCAAATATTACCCTTTTTTAAATGTGCTCATTTACTCTAGACACCAGGATATTGTAAATTTTAGCCTGGATAGGAGGGAATTTTTTTTTTTTACCCAGCAGCTACTGCAGGACAATACCAGACATAAGAGAAAACTGTTCACACCAGGCTTAGAACCTGACAGACCCAAGTTTAAGCCCCAGCTTCACCCCTTCTCAGCAGCTGTCTTCAGTCTCAATTTTCATATCTGTGAAATTATCATAGAAATACCTTCCCTAGGGGACTAAATTTGGGGTAATGAGCACACATCACAATATACAGATGATGTACTATAGTATTGGATACTTGAAGCCTATATAATCTTATTAACCAATGTCACCCCAACATATTTAATTTTAAAATAACTTTCCTGTTGTCTCAGGGGGGGAGTACAGGGGTAAAATGAGACAAGGTCCATGGGCTGGCTTGTGACCCTTTGCAGACCCTTCTCTAGCACCTACAGCAGCTTCTCCATGTCAGACTAGGTGCTTGGCAACCAGAGGGTCAGTACAGACAGCACTGCCAGGGGACAACCAGGACAGAGTGACCACAACAGACAACTATGCAGCCTTGAGAATGGGACAGGATTATTCCAGCCAGGACTGATCAAAGCTGGGGGAGTAATAGTATTACTGAGAAACTGACAGGGGTAACCTATGCCCTCAAGCAACTGCAGATATACCTCTAGACACCAAGCAAACCCATCTCAGATGACATATGAGCAGCATGAAGGAGGAAGCACAGAGCCTGGGTCTGAACTGGTCTCCTCACTTCCTAGCAGAGTGACCATGGGTGTGGACAGGCACATGGTCTTTGAACCCCACTCGCCTTCTCTGTGTCATCGAAAGAGACATGCATGCCTTGGAAGTCTTGCTCAGAGGACTGACTGAAGCACAGAGTCTACGTCAAACACCTATCCTGGGCCAGGCAGTGCTCTGGAAGCTGGGAATGCAACAGAAAACAGACCAGGCCGGGCTTCTGCCCTCCCGGGTGTGACTCTAAAGGAGATCACACAGGGCAGTCACTCAGCACAGTGCCCTCCCTGCTGTGACTGAGAGATGCTTGTGCCCACGGTGGGTGTGGCCACTGTGATTGAGAAGCCTCATGGGGTGGCCTGGAGAGTGTTCAGGGGAGAGAATGAGAATCCCCAGATATTTGAAGGTTGTTGGGGAAATAACATAAAGCAGAACTGTAACAGGAATAAAGAAGCTGCCTTTCACTAAGCACTTACAATGTAAGGGCTTCATGTGCAGTAACTTATTTAATTCTCACAGCAACCCTCTGTGATGGATACTCATCAGCCCCATTGTACAGATGCAGAAACAGAGGCACAGATCCATACAGTAGCTTCAGAGGTCACACAAGCCAAGGGATGATATCGGTCAGTTTGCATCCCTCTGCCATCTCTCCAGATTGGTGGATGCCCTGAGCAGACTGGTTTGAAGGGCTGGCTCTTTCTGGGGGAGCCAAGAGTGTTGGCATTGAGGGTGTTCGAGCTGCAGTAGGGTGGCCATCTGTCAAAGCATTTTCGTGGGAATTTCTGGTTATGTCAGATGACTAAGTTTTTCCACAGAACAGGCAGGGCCCGGAGCCTTAGTGGACATGCTCTGAGATAATAATAAGCGACTTCCTCTTATCTCTTTCAGCTCACAGTGCCTCGCTTCCCTGTGGTGGTCAAGCTGGGACATGCCCACGCTGGAATGGGAAAGGTATGAGAAGCTGCTCTTACCCTCACTAATGCTCATGCAGCTTCCCCAGATGATCTGTTCCCCTCTCTCTCTGTCCCCCACCACCCTGACCTTAGCCCCCACTGCCCAGAACGGTTTTAAAGAAGCCCAGAATACACTCCCTCTCCTTCCAGCCTACATTCTGCTGAGCTCTTAGAGCGTGGAACCTCTCTCCAGCTCAGTCCGGACTTGCCAGAGCCAAGCTGCAGATGCCGGCTCATTGTTTCCTATGATTGTGGCTTCAGGGCAATGAATCTAAAGCATTTTGTAACTGGTGATTGTTTTGTACCTGCCTTCCTCTCCATGGCTATGCTGTAGCTCATATCTTTATTACCTGCAGGGCCCACACCTAGAAGGTGGCAAATACACCTGGCTCTGTGGGGGAAGTCCCTGGTGTCAGTTAGCTTCTGCAAAAGTAAATCCTCTGTTTCACACAGTCACAGCTGACATATTGGTCAGATATGTCCTCCTCCTCCTCCTTAGCTGCGTATATAGAAACTGAACTCAAATCGGGGGGAGAGAAAAAACTCACTGGTTCAAGCCATCAGCACATCTGAAATAGTTTTGGTAGATTAGGACAGAGTTGGATCCAGGAGCTCAAATGATATTGTCACACTCAGTCTCCTCTATCTGTTGACTCTGTTCATCTCTACTTGGTGTTTTCTTCAAATAGTCAGCATGGCTACAGGTGCGTCACCCTGAACCCTAAGATCACTGGATGAGAGGAAGGCCTCATCTCTTTCCGTCATCTCTGTATCTGACCTCGTGGAGGGACACTGATCAGTCTCACTTGGGTTCCTGTGCCACCCCTGACGAGTGGATTTGGAGATGTATTGGGCCCCACTCAAACCACGTGGATGGGGGTCTCCACAGGAGATGGAGATTTACTCCTGAGTGAGGGGAATTAGGGGGGTGGGGCTACCACAGGCCCCATGAGAACATGTGGCTCTCAGTGCCTGGCATCCCCACTGGAGGGACCTGAGCCCAACACAGACGTCCTGGATAAAGGAGCCAGTAGAAACCTTGCTCTGAGAAAGGGACCTCCCACCGCCAACCGCAAATAATCCTGCACCTCGCTCCTTTGTTCTCCCACAACCTGCACACCTTCTGCATCACTGGTTCCCACCTACGCTCCATACCCCTCAGGCAGCAAAGAATGGAAAGAGCCAGGCAGGTCTGGGCATGACCCCAGCTCCAATGTTTGCAGGAACGTGAGCAAGTTGCCATCTGAGTTCTCTTGGCCTCCTCATCTGTGGAATTGTTACCGAACAACAGGAGGAGGTCGTCCGAGGGAGGGGCAATACAATATTCGGCCCACCTAGGGATGCCCAAAACTGCTGTACAACAGGGGCCCCTCCCAAAAACCAAAATACTGAAATCTACTGGGCCCTTCTGTCCGCCGCCAATTGGAAACACATCTCTTAATGCCAGAGATTTGTGAAAAGGAAACAAAATGTTTATTTAATGCTATTCAGGCCTAATGCCTCCACTAAAATATTAAAGTCCTTTAGGTTGTACACCTACACCCACACAGCGTTCCCTTCTCCCACTGTCCCAACTCCGGGTACCGTAAATCAGGAAAAGAGCACACGTCTGTGTTGCAGGCCGCTGGCACCGTCAGCTGTGTCTCTGTGCAGGATCTCGAGTTAATCCAAAGTACTGTGGTATCCTCTCATGGTCCACTGGCAAGAGTCCTTTGTACCCAGTTCCAGTCAAAGTCTCTGTTGCTTTTCAGGCCCCGCAGCCAAAGGGGGCACCCCAAAGCCGCGTGGGCCTCTTCTACCAAAGCTGCAGGAGTCCGCACTCCACCAAAAGCATGTGGCTTTCTTCTTCACCTGGCTGCAGGGATCTCCATTCTGGCAAAGCTGCGTGGTTCTTCCCTTTCACCTGGGAAAGAGGGGGTCTGCACCCTGCCAAAACCACGTGGCTCCCTCTTTCACCTCACCAAGAGGGGGTCCTCACTCTGCTGAAACCGAGTGGCTCTCTCTCATCTGGCCAAGCGGGGACCCTTCATGTCTCGGAGCCAGTCTTTTCCAAGCTCTCACCCAGGCCATCTCGCTCAGGAGCGCAGCCCCTAGTTTCCATCTTGAGTCTCTGCTAGTTCCATCCTCAGACCCTGCTAGTTCCTTCTCAAGTCCCCTGCCACAACCTTCTCACTCAGGAGTCCAGACTTCAGTTACATCCTCCTGAGTCCCAGTCTACTACTTTCTCCCTTCTTCAGGAGCGCCGACCCTAGTTACATTCTGAGTCCAAGCCCTTCTCCCTCAGGAGAGCAGCTCATAGATACATTCTGAGTCTCTCAAGCCCTTCTCACTCAGGAGTGCTGATCCTAGTTCCATCCTACTCAGGAGTCCCCCTAGTTCCATCCTCAGTCCCTGCTCAGTTCCTTCTCCCTTCTCCCTTGCTCCAAACTTGGCCACTGCTAATTAACATATCTATGAAACCAGTTAAAGGTTATAGATATGTTAAATAACCATTCCTCCAGAGGTTAGCTCCAAAACTGTTGCTATGCAAAACAGCTCTCAATGGCCTGGCTCCATTCATCCCTTCCCCCTGGGGGGGGGGGGGGGGGTGGTGAGGACATCCCAATATGTCTCTCCAATATTTCCATACACCTTGAATTCTGGACACCATTCCAAATCTTTTTTGGGGGGGCCCCCTGGCTGCACCCTGTATCAGAATGATGGCAATTCTAATAACCATCTTTACAACAAATCCTCCCTCTGCACTACATTTCCCTAAAAAGTACACACCACGACAGTGGGGGTTTTCCTGTTTGCTGCTACCATGTCCCACAATGGTCCCTGGTGCATGTTGGTTGTTGATAGAGTGGATGGATGAGCAAACCTCTGTTTGCATACATCCCTGTGCCTGTTCCCCGTGGCCTCTCCTCCCAACCCCTCAGCTCCCCTGAGGCTGCCCTCCCTGTGGTCCCCAATAACTTCTAACCCAGCAGGCACTCCAGCCCACCTCTGAGTCAACCAACCTCTCTATATCATTTAAAGCTATTCCCATCCCTTCTGTCCCGAAACTCTCTCCTGTGAACTCCAGTTCACGCTTCTTTTCCAGTTCTCCTCCTCTCTCTCTGACCACTCCTTTGGTTTCCTTCAGGGACCCTTCTTCTTGCTCTATTTTTAACTGTCTGTTCCATCAGCACACGCTATCTGAGAGCTCATCTACCCCCTGATCCTCAGCAGCCACCCACACACCAACAGCTAGCCCTAATCATTTCCTATGCAAAGCATCAGGCTCTTGTATCCAGTTCCCTCCTCAAATCTCCACCTTGTCTCCCATGGAAACCTCAGACTCTAAACATCCCAGACCGTGCCCATGATCTTTCCAGACAGCCTGCTCCCCATCCTCGTCTCCATCCTCCTCCTCCTCTGACTGTATCTAGAGCAGAAATCACCAGCCCGCCCCTTGTCTCAACAAATCTGGGAGTCATCTCCTCTCCTCCTCCACGTCTAAATGGCCATCAAGTCTTATCACTTGCCCACTATTACTGTTTCTCAAACTTGTCCCTTTCTTTCTTCTACCCACGACACCAGGTGGGACAATTCTGGTAAAGTGAGAGGGTTCCCAAGAATTATATTCTGTGTCTAAAAATTAAAATAACCCCAGACAGGAAATAAAAAGAAGGAAATAGTTAAAGAGACTGACACAATACTCAGGGCGGGGTAGGGATGGGGGCAGCCTGGAGGAGGTCTGAGAAACCCAGGTCCAAAAGGGGTTCCCAAAACATAGAAAGGGGGACACATCTCCAAGGACAGAAAATGTCATCCACCAGGAGAAACAGAGGTTTACAGAAGTGCTGAGAGCAAGGGAAAAGGGCTTTTCTCTTTCTCTTTGGAATGAGAAAACCATCAAGAGTGGTCTGAACATGCCGACTGAGCAGATGATGTCATATTCATGGCTGAGAGGGAGAGAAACAAAATTGGTACCTTTTATGGTACGTCCAGCTTGTGTCAGAAGGAAGACTGCCTGGAGTGAAGCAGCGAGAACATCCTAAGTAGGAAACTGGCAGAGAGGCTGTTGAAGAACGCGGTGTTCCCGGAAGTCCACCTTGAGCTCTGTGGATGAAATTGCTGACCCCCCCCCTCAATTACATTGTGCTCTTTTGCTCATATATATTGATTGGTACCAACTCTGTGAGGATGAATAGGACACAGTCCCTGCTCTCAAGGAAATGGAGAGACAGCCACATAAATAATTAAGTATAACGTGTCCGGGACCTGGTAGAAAGCTGTGCAGGGCATATGGGGATTGAAGGCAGAGGGTGTTAATGTAGATTGAAGGAAGGAGCTTAATCCCACCTAGGGGACCGAAGGATGGAAAAAACGTCCGCATCAGGGGATCTGTGGGTGATCCGGCCTGCCTGAAAATGAAAGCAATTCTAACAAACAAGAAAGACTTGAGGAAAAGAGATGGGCCAATCCCCTCTTATACTGAACAAGAATGGCAGAAATCCCAAAGCACAGAAATCAAACACTGTGCAGTCTGGGAGTGTTTGATTAGGTAGGAGACGATCACGGGAGCAGATGAGTGTTTAGAAATCAGTCGAACTAGACCATTGGTTCTTATGAGGGGAGGATGGTGCTGCCTCCCAGGAGGCATTTGGCCATGTCTGCAGGCAAGTTTGGTTGCCACACGAGGGGTGAGAGAGGTCCTACTGGCATCTGGCATCTACAGGGTAGAGGCCAAGGATATGGCCTAACACGCTCCAGTGCCTAAGACGGTCCCCCACAATAGAGAATCATGCGGCCCGAAATGTCAGTAGTGTCAAGGTTGAAAAACCCTGGACAAAACTAATCTCATTTCCTCTTTCCTTTGTTGAAAGTTGTGTCAGAATATAAACCAGAGGAAACCGTGGTTGTCATAGAGTTCAAAGTGCTTCAAAGTCTGTTCCAAAGAATTATAATTATAAGTTTAGAAAACTCTGTGTTAAAATAAGTTTTATTGTCGAAGTTCTCAGAGTCATAAAT